GACCTGGCCTGTAGCACAGGCATGTGCCTTGACTGGGGAACTCTGGACCCTTTGGTTCACAGGCCTCTACTCTATCCACTGAGTCACACCATCCAGGGCTAGATAGGAAGCTTCTTGAAGGCAGACATGTGTGTTTTGCATTAGTCCATAGCACTTATCAAACACTGATATGCTTTTTCAGGATTATGTTTATACATTGCTTGGAAACTTGGTTATCACTTCAATCTGTGCTTGCTAGATCACTTTCTGTCCCATATTAACCACTAATATGGTTAACTTATGTGCCTAACTGGTTTCTTTTGGGCTTACACCTCTGAAGATAGGCTGGTCTGGAAAGTCCATAAATTCTTTTTCTGTGTTGTATCACATGAATTAGATCTGTCCGGTCTCCTTTATGAGAGGAGATTTACAAATATGGAATCATATACCTTTAAGTTTCAAGAGGCAATAGTTTCATTTTCTACAGCCTTGAGAGTATCCTGAAATACCTATTAAGGATAAAATTCTTCTGGAATGTGGCCACATGGGAAAGCAAATGTTAACTGTGACAGCTCACTTCTCGGGTTTCAGTGACATTTTCTTCTAAGAAACATGATTGGAGAAATTTGTAGCTCTGTTCCTAATAAAATCAATGCAGTATGTCTTATTTAATGTGTATATCTGCTATTGCTCAAGTGTGTAAAAATTCCTCAGATTTATGATTTCAACTTGATCCTTTGAATTCTGTATTTTCTAATTACTACTGTATCAGATGACTTGCATGTTAGAATAGATATTGTTTCTGTTAAATCCAATTAAGAGACAATATTTACTATGAAGATTCCCTTCTTATGAATCATTTCTGTAGGATTATTGAGATCAAAAAAGAAATTACCTGGCTAATGAATTTATAATCATAGCCTAATGGTGGTTAATACCAGTCTGTGGATTAGATCTAATACTGTGGTTTTCACCCTCAGGTGCACATTAGAATCCCTTGAGGAGCTTCAAAAACTCTTGCTATCTGGCTGCACCTCAATGCAATTAAATCAGAATCTCTGGAACTGGACCCAGGTGTCATTAGTTTTTTTAAGAATTCCCGGTGATCTCAGTTTGTAGACAAGATTGAGAACCACTCAATCTGTTAGGAATTTCCATTCATATATTTAATAAAACAGCTCTTCTTCACCATGTATCTGCCTTATTGTAGTGACTGTCTTAGACTTTCCATGTAAACCTCTTTTGAGCCTGCCTATATTCTTTTTTTTTTTTAAGATTTTATTTATTTATTTTTAGAGTGGGAAGGGAGGGAGAAAGAGAGAGAGAAAAACATCAATGTGCGGTTGCTGGGGGCCATGGTCTGCAACCCAGGCATGTGCCCTGACTGGGAATCAAACCTGCGACACTTTGGTTCGCAGCCCACACTCAGTCCACTGAGCTATGCCAGCCAGGGCTTGAGCCTGCCTGTATTCTTAACTGGGCTGATGCCATTACATGCTTTATGAGGATGGCATGGACTGTACTAAGCTGTGTGCCAGTCACTGGGAAGCCCTTTTTATGTATGAATGCATTTATCCTTGCAACAACCTTAGGCTAAATAGGTATTATTCAGTCCATTTTTATAAGTGAGGAAATAGGCTTAGAGTGGGTAAATGACTTACCCAAGGTTTGTTTGAGTCTAAAACTTCTTTAACCCTTAAATACTTCCCTTTCTAAGGTAAGTAGACAATTAACATTTTGAGACAACTGCTTTTTGTGATAAGCTTGTCCACTAGCAACTGTGTCATATAGGGGTCTGGTTGAAGGCACCCCTTACTGATAAGGCCTGGAAAGGCAAAGTCCTGATAGAGTTGGTGCAATAGAGTCTCTAGCCCAACACAGAAAAACCCCATGTATATTGAGAAGTTCTAATCCTGTTTTTAAACATCTAAACATCTTGGGTTTTTTTAGATGTGCCTTACTGTAATAGATTTCAATGAAAATAATTGTGTGTGGTTAGCCCATCTAAAAACAAACTCGCACTCACGCCTGTCAGAATGGTTATCATCAATAAATCAACAAACAAGTGTTGGCGAGGATGTGGAGAAAAGGGAACCCTCCTGCACTGTTGGTGGGAATGCAGACTGGTGTAGCCACTGTGTAAAACAGGATGCAGGTGTCTCAAGAAATTAAAAATGGAACTGCCTTATTACCAAGCAGTTCCACCTCTGGGTATATATCTGAAGAAACTCAAAACACTAATTTGAGAAGATACATGCATCCCTGTGTTCATTGCAGCATTATTTACAATAGCCAAGATGTAGAAGTGTCCCAAGTGCCCATCAGTAGACGAGTGGATGAGATAGCTGTGGTACATATATACAATGGAATATTATTACTCAGCTATAAAAAAGAATGAAATCTTTGTGACAGTATTGTTGGACCTAAAGGATGTTATGCTGCGTGAAAAAAGTCAGAGAGAGGGAGACAAATGTGGTATGATTTCACTTACATGTGGAATATAAAGAACAAAAATGCATAAACAAAGCAGAAACAGACTCATAGATACAGAGAACAAACTGTATGGATGACAGAGAAGAGGTTTGGAGGGCTGGGTGAAAAAGTTGAAGGGATTAAGAAGTACAGATTGTCAGTTACAAAACAGTTATGGGGATGTAAAGTGCAGCATAGGGAATATAGTCAATAATATTGTAATAACTGTATGGTATCAGGTGGGTACCTGAAATATTGGGGGACCACTTTGTAAAGTATATGATTGCCTACCCACTATGCCGTAATCCTGAAACTAATATAAAATAATATTGAAAAAATTAAAGCAAATTCATGGTTGTAAATGTAGTCAGCCATACTATTGGGTTACTGTGTTGAAATCATAGAAGCCAAAACACTGTTGGCAATAGAGGATTTTTTTCTCTTAACTCTGTAGTTCAGTGATGGTCTCTTAGTGCTTTATAGCCTATGAAACTTCTTTCCTGGGATCCAGTAATCTCATTCACTGTAACACATCTAATTACTATGGGTTCCAGAAAATAACCTTGGATTGTTGGAATTATTTATACTAGGAGGGCTAGGCACGTAATGTAAATGTATCAGTTAACAGATGATCGAAGTGGAGTAGATGACTGACAGTAGGGCATGATGAGAACAGTGATGAGCTTCTGTTCCATTTTTAGGGCTGAGAATAGGTTCCAGTCTCTTGTTGCCATGAGTTGTCAGTTCTTCTAATTGATCTAAACCTGGAAATCTGAATTTTTAGTTGAAATTTATTAATTTTTAGGTGAAATCTCCCAAATAAAATATGTCTATGTGAATTCAGCCTCCTGAGGATTCCTGTTTTTTACTGTGCTTTTTAAAATAGTTTTTTAAAAAGATTTTATTTATTTTATTTTTAGAGAAGGGAAGGGAGGGAGAAAGAGGTAGAAAAACATTAATGGGTGGTTGTCTCTCATGTGCCCCCTACTGGGGACCTGGCCTGCAACCCAGGCACGTGCCCTTACTGGGAATTGAACCAGCGAACCTTTGGTTCACAGGCTGGAGCTGAATCCACTGAGCTACACCAGCCAGGGCTGTATTTTTTTTTAAACAAACACTTTTATTCCCTTTATTTTTTTGCATAAAATTATGTGGTGGCCACAGCTGGAGCCTGAGTCCTCTGCACAGAAACTCTGCCACGGGTCCTTATAAGATGGTCAGTGAATTCCTGATAGGGAGACTTGTTAGACACAGTCTCTTTCCAGAGGTCGGGGGTGAGATAGCTGTAGGTCTTAGGTATAACATCACAGGTGCCTTGGTGAAGTTGCCCAGAGTGGCAGTGCAGTCCCTGGCTGAGGTGTAGCAGTTTTGGATACTGGTCATCATCAGCACTTTCTTGGGCACAGTGACTGAGATGCTCCCCGTACCCCCAGGGGCAGGGATGAGGCACCCCAGCACAGAGCCACAGCAGCTGGTCACCTTGTAAGGGGTGGTGTGGGCCTTGCTGATCTTGTTCCCCTAGTAGCTTCACCACACAGGGACAGTAGAGAGCTTGGCTAGCTTGGTGGCTCCATGGAAGGCAGTGTCTTACTTCCTTTGAACACTTAACACCCAGACCTACATGTCCATTGCAGTTCCCAATGGTGACAAAAGCCTTGAACTGGGTCCTCTAGCTAGCACATGTCTGCTCTCGCATGGCCATAATCTTCAAAATGTCATCCTGAGGGATACCCCCATGAAAAAGTCAATGATCTGAGATTCCTTGATGGGATGGAGAAGAGATAGATTTCCTCCAGGAACTTGATCTTGATCACCTTGACCAGGCAGCCCAGCTTGGGGACAGGGATACACTCCTTGCCCTTGCCTCTGTGAGCTCTGTGGCTTCAGCCTCCAACCCTGACCATGACTCTGGCTGTGACCTCAGCCCCGGATGCCACTGCCAAACCCTCCGTGGAAACCACTGCAGCCTCTCATTCCAGGGCTCCTGAGACCTGGAGGCCCTCCTGCGGCACCTGCATCATTCACCATTTGGTGTTTCCTTGGAAAAGAAGCTACTCTCTGTGCTTTTGAATCTATCCTGAATGGTGAACCTTGCTCTTTGCCAAGGCCTTTATCTTTCTTTAATTAATCAAGGGTAACTCCCTTAGGATTATCTCAGAGTATAGTTAATTTGTTCTCCAAAAGGACAAGGTTCTCCCCTTCTCAAACTGTAGTCCTGTTGGTTGCTGAATTGCCTGAGATTATGCCAACTTTTCACTGAACTGCAGACCCAGATTTTGAGAAGTGAACAGGCATTGGGCACAGTTACTACCGGTATATCTTTACATTGAATTGGGCTGTAGGACATCATTTTGTCAGTGAGTGTAATGCTGCATGTTCTGTAAAGCTCTATGACTTGCAGGTGTCTCTCCAGATATTGAGCTTTTACTGAAGCCCTTCTCTGTAAGGGAGTATCTCTGGCTATATAAGATTTAAACATGATGCAATTCTTTATTTTGGTACATTTTTGCTTAATCTCCTCCAATAATTAATTTTTCTTTATATTATAGGCATATAGTTGGAAAGAGAGGGGACACAAGGAAGAAACTAGAAGTGGAGACCAAAACTTCTATTAGTATTCCTAAACTTGGACAAGAAGGAGAAATTGGTGAGACCCAGTATATATGTTATATGTGCAGTCATTTTTCATGTGTATGGAATAATGTAACCTAACTGAGGTGTTTAGTGACTGTATCCTTTATGAGGTTGTGTAGCTATTGGCCTTTTTATGATATATCAGTATTAGTCTCTGAATGAGGAAAGATGTGATTAAACAACCTTATTATGATTGAGTACCTGGGCCTTCATTTTATACTTTACCGTGTACTGAGGGGATAAAGCTTCGATTTTGTTGTGATTAGATTTCTTTTATGCTTTAGTAGCTTGAAATAGCGCTCGCAAATTGTTTCAAGTTAGAATTACAGAAAACCAATGAAACCTACAAATTTGAATGAAGTTCACCCCTTTCTATAAATGTTTCCTTGTTTTTACCTTGCTTTGTAGACTATGAGTAATGATTAAAATACCAAGCTGATTCAGGCCCTGGCCAAGTAGCTTAATTGGTTAGAGCATAGTCCCAATACACCACAGCTGTGGATTTCATCCCTGCTCAGGGCACATACAAGAAATAACCAGTGAATGCATAACTAACTGGAACAATAAATTGATGTCTCTTTCTTTCTCTCTCTCTACCTCCTTCCTCTCTGTCTCTCAAATCAATAAATTTAAAAAATAAAATAAAAACAATACCAAGCTGATTCAGCCCTGGCTGGTGTGGCTCAGTGGATTGATTGCTGGCCTGCACACCAAAGGGTCTGTGGTTCGATTCCCAGTCAGGGCACATGCCTGGGTTGCAGGCAGGGTCCCCAGTAAGAGGTATGCGAGAGGGAGCCACACAATCACGTTTTTCTCCCTCTCTCTCCCTTCCTTCCCCTTTCTAAAAATAAATAAATAAAATCTTTAAAATAAAAAAAATACCTGATTCAAGTAACTGCTGAGACTAGGAAAATAGTTTGGTAATATAAAACAAGTCAGAAAGTGTCAGAACCAAATGTCAGTGCGAACCAAGGACACATGCTTGTGTTTGTAAAACAGATTTGAGTGAGGGACTTTTTTTTTTTTTTTAAGAATGAGGGGAAAGTAGGGAGAAAGAGAAACATTGATGTGTGAGACAAACATTGACTGGTTGTCTCTTGCACGCCCCCAACTGTGGACCAGGCCCACAACCCAGGCATGTTTCCTAACTGAGAAGCAAACCAGTGACCCTTTGCTTTGCGGGATGATGCCCAACCAACTGAGCCACACCGGTCAGGGTGGGACAAATTTTTTAAAAACTTATCCTAAGACTAGGGCTTCTAAAAAATTAATTAAGTTCAATAGTGTCCAGTAATCTTATTTTCCATAAACACCCATAGATTTTATTGTTTTAGGAGAAAAAAATCAGTAGTACTCATCTTATTTTGTGATATATGAGAACAATCACTGTGACAGATAAGTAACAGTTGACTTGAGCACAGTGCTGTCCTAAAGAACTTTCTGTGATGATGGATGGTTATGTTCTATGTCTATGCTGTCTAGCACAGGAGCCATTAGCCACAGTAACCATGAGTACTTGAAATGTGGCTAGTGTGACTGAAGAACTGAATTTTTAATTCTATTTAATTCTAATTCATTTAATTTTAGTTTAACTAGGTGCTTGTGGGTTCCTGTATTGGACAGCACAGTACTAGACGTTTCCCCAGCCTCTTGCTAACTTCAGTAACCTCAAGCATAAGAACTTTAATGACATAAAGGATTTTATTAAAATAAACATTCAGTTCATTAGAATTATGAATTTTAAAAAACTTGGGTTTTTCCTTAAGCTTTAAGTTGAAATTACAAATATTGAAGTATTTTATAATGTCATTTAAGCGTATTTAACTAGTCTTGGCCTAGTGGCGCAGTTGGTTGGAGCGTCATCCTGTATACCAAGAGGTTGCAGGTTTGATTCCTGGTCAGAGTGCATACTTATGTTGTAGGTTTAATCCCTGGTTGCGGTGTGCACAGGAGGCAATGTGTCTCTCTCACATTGATGTTTCTCCCTCTCTCTTTCTCCCTTTGTCTCTCTCTAAAATCAATGAACATGTCATCGAGTGAGGTTTTAAAAAATTAAGCTTATTTAACTGTTTTTCTAATTTTAAAATTATTATATGCTTTAAAAATGGAAGGTTGCAGAGATTATATATAATAGGTATAAAGGGAATTTTTTGTAATAGGAACCCCTATTTTTGCTATCCATATAGTAACATAATAATTTTTGAAAATATATTTTATTGGTTATGCTATTAGAACTATCCCAATTTTTTCCCCTTTGCCCCCCCCAACTGGTACCCCCATTCCTTCCAGCAGTCCCCCCCTTAGTTCATGTCCATGGGTCATGCATATAAGTTCTTCGGCTACTCCATTGCCTATACTATTCTTAACCTCCCTGTCTATTTTGTGCCTACCATTTATGCTTCTTATTCCCTGTACCTTTTCCCCCATTCTCCCTGTCCCCCTCCCCACTGATAACCCTCCATGTGATCTCCGTATCTATGATTCTGTTCCTGTTCTGGTTGTTTGTTTAGTTTGTTATTTGGATTCAATTATTGATAGTTGGGAATTTATTGCCTTTTTAATGTTAATTGTTTTGATTTTCTTCTTTTTCTTATATAATGCCTGTTAGCATTTCATATAATAATGGCTTGGTGATGATGAATTCCTTTAGTTTTACCTTGTCTGGGAAGCACTTTATCTGCCCTTCCATTCTAAATGATAGCTTTGCTGGATAGAGTTCCAGGTTGTAGGTCCTTGCTTTTCATGACTTGGAATACTTCTTGCCAGTCCCTTCTTGCCTGCAAGGTTTCTTTTGAGAAATCAGCTGCTAGTCTTAATGGGAACTCCTTTATAGGTATTCCTTATGGGAACTATCTGCTTTTCTCTAAAAGATAAAGATTATCTGTCTTTATCCTTTGGCATTTTAATTATGATGTGCAATGGTGTGTTCCTCTTTGGGTCCAACTTATTTGAGACTCTCTGTGCTTCCTGGACTTGTATGTCTGTTTTCTTCACCAAATTAGGGAAGTTTTCTTTCATTATTTTTTCAAGTAAGTTTTCAATTACTTGCTCTTCCTTTTCTCTGTCTGGCATCCTCTATTATTCAGATATTGGTATGTTTAAAGTTGTCCCATAGGTTCCTAAGCCTCTCCTTGTTATTTTGAATTCTTTTTTCTTCCTGCTGTTCTGATTGAATGCTTTTTCCTTCCTTGTGTTTCAAATTGTTGATTTGATTCTTGGCTTCATCCCCTTCACTGTTTTCCCTGTAGATTTTTCTTCATTTCACTTAATCCATCCTTCATTTCTGTCTGGGTCTTTTTTATAGCATTGAATTACCCAATGAGTTCCTCGAGTATCTTGATAACCAGTGTTTTGAACTGTGCATCTAACAGTTTGCTTATCTCTATTCCATTTAGTTCTTTTTCTGGAGTTCTGTTCTTTCACTTGGGTCATATTTCTTTGCTTTTCATCTTGGCAGCTTCCCCGGGTTTGTTTCTGTGTATCAGGTAGAGCTGCTTTGACTCCCTGTCTTAGTGCACCTGTTAAGTTGGGTGGGGCAGAGCCTTAGGTAATCCCCAGTGCAGGGCCCCCTGTGTTTCTGCTCTGTTGCTCTGTGTTGGGGGAGGGCTTATAGAAGAGACTATACCTCTGCCTGTCTCTGGAGTATTGCCTGGGAGGAAGCTGTCTCCCCACTCACACTTCACTTTCTCCCTATTCACTTTCTTCACTTTCTGCCACTAGTGCCCTTTCAGCTGTTGCCCTGGTGCTGAGTCCCAGAGAGGGGTGTGTCCTTGTGAGTCCTCAGTCTGTTGTGGACCCTTTAAGAGGATGCAGTTTCTTCTACTGCCCTAACCCCCACTGATTTTTACAGCCATAAGTTATGGGGACTTATCTTCCTGGTGCTGGAACCCAGGGCTGTGTGGTCTGGACTGAGGCTGGGATCCCTTGCTCCCAAGATATCCCTCCTGTTTTTTATCCACTACATGTGGTCGTGGGACTGCCTGTTCCTGTCTCTGCACCTCTCTGTGCCACTCTGCATCTCTGTGCCTCTCTGCATCTACACCCCTCTTACCTGTCTGGATGAATGTGACTTCTTTAAATCCTTCGTTGTTGGACTTCCACACAACTCAGTTTTCTGACAATTCTGGGTAGTATGTGTTTTGTAGCATAGCTTAGTATTTGTTATAGTGGTGCGCAGAGGCAAGGCCTGTTTACCTGCACCTCCATCCTGACTGGAAGTTTCATAACAATTTTTATAACATGTTATAAATGTGGAGACCTTAGCCATTGTAAGATAATGAATCATTCCAAAATTTATCCAGAAAAGGGTAAGTAGTGTAAAGATTAGATTTTGATTTAGAAAGCACAGATATTTCAGTGTGTAAAACAAGCGTGTCTAATCGTTAAAAGTAAGAATTTGGTGGAACTAATTTAATTGAAAAACGAGGATAAACTGGCTTAATGGGCTTTTAGGGAAGTAATGTATATGGAAAAATGAAATTTATGGGTTAGATTAAATTAAGTTGTGGAACCAAGAATGCTGTTGCATTGGTGTGGTATTTGCTGCCATTTACTCATTTTCTTTTGCCTCTCCTTAGAGAACCTAGAGAAGAAGATGATCTAGTAGTAGGTTTTTTTAATTTGTCCTCTAGACATAAAATTTACCATTTTGACTACAATAAGTATTGAATTCAGGAGCATTTAGTACATAATACAATATTGTGCAGCCATCACCACTGTCTGGTTTATAATACTTTTTATCACCCCAAAAGGAAAAGCCATATCCATTAAGCCAGGTGTGTCTAACCTGTGGCCCATGGGCTGCATGCAGCCCAGGATGGCTGTGAATGTGGCTCAACAGAAATTCGTAAATTTACTTAAAACATTACGAGATTTTTTGTGATTATGTGTCACAATGTGTTTAACGTGTGGCCCAAGACAACTGTTCTTCCAGTGTGGCCCAGAGACGCCAAAAGATTGGACACCTCTGTGAGTAGTTATTTCCCATACGTTCCTCCCCTGTCTTTGAGTACCACTAATCTGCTTTTTGTCTCTGAATTTGCCTGTTCTGGGTTTTTCCTATAAATGGAAACATACACACAGTATATGGCTTCTTTGGTCTCTCTTTTACTTAGCATCATGTTTTCAGATTCATCAATATTTTCGAATGCATCAGTTCTACATTCCCTTATTTTTGGCTGAATAATAATAGTATGGAGATAGAACATTTTATTTATCGGTTGATAGACATTTGTATTTTTTTCACCTTTTGGTTCTGTGAATGTTTGTGTGCAAGTTTTTTGAACACCTGTTTTTACTTCTTTGAGTTTCTATGTAGGTGTGAAATTTCTGGGTCATGTGATAATTCCTTTTTAACTTTTTCAGGAACTACCAAACTTTTTCACAGCAGCTGCGGAATTCCTGTCAGCATAGCATGAAGGGTTTACTTTGTATCTTTTGAACTCATTTTTCTAGTTCATTAGCTGGTCTTTAAGGATATTCTGTTTTTAGCTCTGGCCAGGCAGCTCAGTTGGTTGGAGAGTCATCCCGATATGCCAAGGTTGTGGGTTCAATCCTCTATCAGGACACATACTGTAATCAATGAAGATGTGAATAAGTGCCACAATAAATCAATGTTTCTCTCTCTCTCTGTTTCTCACTCTCTCTTCCTCTCTAAAATTAATAAAAAAAAAAAACCCATTAGGTCCTGACCAGTGTGGCTCAGTTGGTTGGGTGTGGGCGTTGTCCTTCCTGCAAAAGCAAAAGGTCACTAGTTTGATCCCTGGTGAGGGCACATGCCTGGGTTGTGGTTTCAGTCCCCGGTCTGGGCACATGCAAGAGGCAACTAATCAATACTCTCATGTCGATGTTTCTTCTCTTTCTTCTTCTCTTCCCCCCTCCCGTCTAACAATAAATAGATAAAATCTTTAAGAAAACCCATTAAGTTAAAAAAAAGGATATTCTGTTTTTAGATCTTATTCTGCTTAGATTGAATTCATTTTGTTCCTTACACTTGGTATTGTCCTCTGTTCAGAATTATATATATATTCAGGACAGCTCCCCACAGATGACAATATCTGGAGGTCACCTGTCTTACTAGCATTTGATGATCCTTGAGTGTGTTAACCCCTTTTTTTGTTTTCAGTAATCACCGGCCAGCATCGAAGTGGTGTAATTTCAGCCCGAACTCGGATTGATGTTCTTTTGCTCACTTTCAGAAGAAAGCAGCCTTTTACACATTTCCTTGCCTTTTTCCTCAATGAAGCTGAGGTTCAGGAAAGATTCCTGAAGTTCCAGGAGGAAGTACTGGAGAGGTGCTCCATGGTAAGCAGCAAAACAAAACAAAGCAAAAAGTTTAAGAGATCGTAAAATGATGGTACAAAACAAAAATGTTTCCTAATTCAAACAGTATATACAAATCTCTTACCAAAAAAGGTAACCATTTCTGATGTTTCCTTTTAATTTGAGCTGAAAGAAAATATATATAGACATAGCAGCACATAAGTGTCTATATATTACTGAAATATTCTTTTTAAAAAGTTTTTATTTATTTTTAGAGAGGGGAATGGAGGGAGAAAGAGAGGGAGAGAAACATCAATGTGTGGTCACCTCTCATGCTCCCCCTACTGGGGACCTGGCCTGCAACCCAAGCAGGTGCCCTGTCTGGGAATCAAACCAGTGACCATTTGGTTCGCAGGCTGGTGCTCAATCCACTGAGCCACACCAGCCAGAGCTTATTGAAATATTCTTTAAAAATTTTAAGAGATGGAAAGATCATCTTAATATACACGGTATCCTGAACCTTGTGGATGGCAATGTTAATGAAATGCCACCTCAGAACAGTCAGGGCTTATTTGGGGTTAGTAACAAAAAACAAAATTGCATATGAAATTTTTATACTTATGTAACAGTGAAATGCTAGTTTATTATCCTATGACCAAAATAATAGCAGATAATTTAGATTAGAATAAGTTTTAAAATTCTTTTGGATCTACTTTTAGGTAATTTAAAGAAATACTTATTTTTTAAAAAATTATGGAAGTAATATATACTTATAGAAAATTTAGAAAATACAGAAAGGATTAATAAAAAGTCACCCATAATCTCACCACTGACAGATAATATTGTAGTATGTTTGTGTGTGTGTACACACATACATTAAAAAAAATGTGTCTTACATATGGTTTTATATCCTATTTTCTTTGAAATTTAACATTATACCATGATTACTTCATCATTGAATAAAAACCTAAATAGTTTACCTTTGCTTTGGAGACTGGGAAGGAAATTACAGTAGAGATTACTAAAATGACATGATCTGATTTCAGTAACTGTTCAGATGACTTGATTTTTAATGGCTACATACTATTCTGATACAGGAATGTATAATAATTTATTTAATCTTTATTCTATTTTTTTATTATTATAAATAATGATGTTAGGAGTATTCTTCTGCACTAGTCTAATTAGCTTACTTAGTAAATTCCTGGAAGTGGGAAAAGTATGTATGTGTTTGAGGTTTTTGATATTATATCCAAATTACCTTCAGGAGGCACTATAGCATTTTATACTTCACACTATAGCTTTCTGTAGGTTTCTTTTCCGACCCTTGCCAGTACTGGGTTTTACTGTTCTTTTATATATACTTTTTGTAATCCAGTGGACAAAAATATTAGCTCATTGTTTTTTTTTCCAATTTTATTTTAATCATTGTTCAAGTACAGTTTTCTTGTCCTTTATTCCCATCCTAGCCCACCCACCCCTCCCTCCCCACCTCCCTCTCATTTCCACCCCGCCCCCCCCCCCCCAGTTTTTGTCCATGTGTCCTTTATATTTGTTCCTGTAAACCCTTCCCATTCTCCCCTGAAACTCCCCTGAACTTCCCTCCCCTCTCCCCTCTGGTCTGTCAGCCTGTTCTCTATTTCAGTGTCTTTGGCTATATTTTGCTTATTTGTTTGTTTTGTTGTTTAGGTTCCTGTTAAAGGTGAGATCATATGGTATTTGTCTTTCACTGCCTGGCTTATTTTGCTTAGCACAATGCTTTCCAGCTCCATCAATGCTGTTGCAAAGGGTAGGAGCTCCTTCTTTCTGCTGCATAGAATTCCATTGTGTAAATGTACCATAGTTCTTTGATCCATTAATTTACTGATGGGTACCTAGATTGCTTCCAGCACTTGGCTATTGTAAATTGTGCTGCTATGAACATTGGGGTGCATAGGTTCTTTTGGATTGGTGCTTCAGGGTTCTTAGGATATAACCCCAGCAGTGGAATTGCTGGGTCAAAAGGCAGGTCCATTTTAAGTTTTCTGAGGAAATTCCATACTGTTTTCCACAGTGGATGTACCAGTCTGCAGTCCCACCAACAGTGCACTAGGGTCCCCTTTTCTCCACAACCTCTCCAACACTTGTTATTTGTTGATTTGTTTATGATGGCCATTCTGACTGGTGTGAAGTGGTATCTCATTGTGGTTTTAATTTGCATCTCTCTGATAGCTAGCGATATTGAGCATCTTTTCATGTGTCTCTGGATCCTCTGTATGTTCTCCTTGGAGAAGTGTCTATTCAAGTCTTTTGCCCACTTTTTAATTGGATTCCTTGTCTTCTTAGAGTGGAGTCGTGTAAGTTCTTTATATATTTTGGAGATTAAACCCTTGTCTGAGGTATCATTGGCAAATATGTTTTCCCATACAGTTGGTTTTCTTTTTATTTTAATACTGTTTTCTTTAGCCATGCAGAAGCTTTTTATTTTGATGAGGTCCCATTTGTTTATTCTTTCCTTTATGTCCCTTGCTCTAGGGGATATGTCAGTAAAAATGTTTCTGCGTGAAATATCTGAGATTTTCCTGCCTGTGTTCTCCTCTAGGACTTTAATGGTGTCATGGTTTATATTTAAATCTTTTATCCACCTTGAATTTATTTTTGTGTATGGTGTAAGTTGGTGCTTGAGTTTCATTTTTTTTTGCACATAGCTGTCCAGTTCTCCCAACACCATTTGTTGAAGAGGCTGTTTTTACTCTATTTTATGTTTGTGCCCCTTTTGTCAGATATTAATTGACCCTAGAGACTTGGATTTATTTCTGGGCTCTCTGTTCTGTTCCATTGGTCTGTGTCCCTGTTTTGATTACAGTGGCCTTGTAATACAGTTTAGTATCAGGTATTGCGATCCCTCCTACTTTACTCTTCTTTCTTAAAATTGGAGAAGCTATTCAGGGTTGTTTATGGTTCCATATAAATTTTTGAAGTATTTGTTCTATGTCTGTGAAATATGCCATTGGTACTTTAATAGGGTTTGCATTGAATGTATAAATTGCTTTGGGTAGTATGGACATTTTAATGATGTTAATTCTTCCGATCCATGAACATGGTATATTTTTCCATTTGTTTGTGTCTTCCTTGATTTCTTTCTTCAGTGTTATGTAGTTTTCTGAATACAGGTCTTTTACCTCTTTGGTTAGGTTTATTCCTAGGTATTTTAATTTTCTTTTTGCAATATTGAATGGGACTTTTTCCTTGATTTCTGCTTCTGCTGTTTCATTGTTGGTGTACAGAAATGCCTTTGATTTCTGGATATTGACTTTGTATCCCGCTGTTTTTCCAAATTCATTTATTAGGTCAAGCAGTTTTTTGGCTCAGTCTATAGGATTTTCTATGTGTACTATCATGTCATCTGCAAACAGTGACAGTTTTGTTTCCTCCTTTCCAATTTGGATGCCTTTTATTTCCTTTTCTTGTCTGATTGCTGTGGCTAAAACTTCCAATACTATATTGAATAGAAGTGGTGAGAGCGGTTAGCCTTGTCTTGTTCCTGATCTTAGTGGAAAAGATTTTAGTTTTTGCCCATTGAGTATGATGTTTTCTATAGGTCTCTCATATATGACCTTTATTATGTTGAGGAATGCTCCCACTTTGCAGAGTGTTTTTAGCATAAATGGGTGCTGTACTTTATCAGATGCTTTTTTCTGCATCTATTGATATGATCATGTGATATTTGTCTTTGATTTTGTTTATGTGATGTATTACATTTACTGATTTGCAAATATTGTACCATCCTTGCATCCCTGGAATGAATCCCACTTGGTCATGGTGTATGATCTTTTTAATGTATTAGTGGATGCAGTTTGCCAATATTTTGTTGAGGATTTTAGCGTCTATGTTCATCAGCAATATTGGCTTGAAGTTTTCTTTCTTTGTTGTGTCTTTGTCTGGTTTTGGGATTAGGATGATCCTGGCTTCATAAAAAAGAGTTTGGGAGTCTTCCATCATCGTGGCTTTTTGGAATAGTCTCTGAAGTATAGGGGTTAGCTCTTTCTTAAATGCTTTGTAGAATTCTCCTGTGAAACCATCTGGTCCAGGCCTTTTGTGTGTTGGGAGTTTTTTGATTACTGCTTCAGTTTCATCTGCTGTTATTGGTCTGTTCAGGCTTTCTGCTTCTTCTTTATTGAGTTTTGGAAGATTATATTTTTCTAGAAATTTGTCCATTTCTCCTAGGTTTTCAAATTTCTTGGCATACAGTTCTTTGTAGTAATTTCTTACAATCCTTTGTATTTCTGTGGTATCTATTGTAATCTCCCCTCTTTCATTTCTGATTGTGTTTATTTGGGTCTTCTCTCTTTTTTTCTTGATGAGTCTGCTTAAAGGCTTGTCGATTTTGTTTATCTTTTCAAAAAACCAGCTCCTGGATTCATTGATCCTTAGAATTGTGCTTTTAGTCTCTATGTCATTTAATTCTGCTCTGATCTTGGTTATTTCCTTTTTTCCACTTGCTCTGGGCTTTGTTGTTGTTCCTTGAGTTCTTGTAGGCATATGGTTAGGTTGTTTGTTTGAAATGTTTCTGTCTTTTTTAGGTAGGCCTGTATGGCTATGAATTTCCCTCTCAGGACTGCCTTCTCTGTGTCCCATAAGTTTTGGGTTGTTGTGGGTTCATTTTCATTTGTTTTCAGAAACTTTTTGATTTCTTCCCTAATTTCATTCTTGACCCATTCATTGTTTAATAGCATGCTATTTAATCTCCATGATTTTGAGTGTTTTGGGTTTTTTCCTTGGGGTTGGTTTTTAGTTTCAGTCCCTTGTGATCCAAGAAAATGCTTGATATGATTTCAATTTTCTTGAATTTGTTGAGGCTTGTTTTGTGTCCTATCATGTGGTCTGTCTTTGTAAATGTTCCATGTACATTTGAAAAGAATGTGTATTTAAGCTTCTTTGGGATGGAGGGCTCTGTATATATCAGTTAAGTCCATTTCATCTAGAGCATTTTTCAATACTACAATATCTTTGTTGATGTTTTGTTTGGAAGATCAGTCCATTTTTGACAGTGGGGTGTTAAA